GAAAACCAAATTCACTGCCATCTAGTTGATTCTGACTCCTAGTGACCCCCCAGTGGGTTTCCAAGGCTATGAATCTTTACGGAAGCAGACTGCCTCATCTTCCACGGAGCAGCTGGTGAGTTCAAACCACTGACCTTTTTGGTTAGCAGCCAAATGCCTTAACCACTGCACCAATAGAGCTCCTTTATGTGGCTGAACCAGAGGTGAATTGAAACAGGCTTCCAGGCTTCTGTTTTTTGTTTTTTAATCTAGCCAAACTGAGGCAAACTGCCACAACAGGTTTCTATCTAGCCTCCCCCATGTCTCTTGCTTAGCCATTTTGTCAGTGTGTCTTACTTCAGGATCTTCAGGGAGATCCTGAAGACAGCTAATTCAGAAAACTTTTTTTTTTTTTTAATCTTTGAGGCCAATTAAGCTAGAGAGAAAGCCTGGGGATGGGACCTAGGGGCACCATAAGCAATAAACAAGCCCTAATCAGCCAAACTAGACACCCACCCTGCTTCCTGCCAACCCTCCCACTTACAGATACCTTTCAACCATGAACTCTGAACTGGTCCCAGCCAGACCCAGGCACATGCGTGGAAAGAACAATTTTGCCCTCTAACTGAACCAGGAACACTGAAATTCACGTCAAGGAACCAAAGATCACCAGAACTATGTCACTGGTGCTACAACCAACCCAATTCAGAAGCGAGGGGTCCATGGCCACTTCTATACTAAGCTGTAACCCTGCCCCCTATCAATAAGGCATGACACTGCCCCAACAGCTTTGAATACATGTAATTCTGCACTTCCCCTTAGAGTATAAAACTTCCCTAACTACTTTTGTTCAGGGAAACAGATCTTTGAGAAAATATGCTTGCTATCTCCTTTCTCCTGTTGAGAAATAAAATCCATTTTGCTCATTCCACTTATCTCACTCATTCTTGTTTGAGTTAAAGTGGTGAACCCATTGTGGTTGGTAATAATACCAGGCATTCCAGCAGACCAAGGAGGTAACCAGCGCAGACCAGTTTTGGCCCATGGACACCCTTCAATTTACACCCTTATGTTGTCCCCTCCCATATTGTTGGTCGGTGTGACTGAAAACCAAATTCACTGCCATCTAGTTGATTCTGACTCCATTTAGAGAAAATGAATGAAATTGCTTAGAACTAACATCTCTCCCTCTGCCTAATTTCACATCAGCTGATGACAGGAAGTTGTTGTAACTCATCTGACACGCAAGCTCACTGCATTAAAAATGGATTGTCCCTTCAGGTTTGCTGGTCTGATAGAGCCTAGTGAGATCTTTGAGACTATGGCCCCTTGTTACCCTTCAAGTCTGGAACTGAACTCACTCCTGCAGCTTTCAGCCAAACAATAGACAGGCATATGGGATGAACATTTATATCAGGTAGATATACTCATTGGAGTGATCAATTGTGGGAGAACAGGAGGGCAGTGTTTGCACAAGGAGATAGCTGGGCGGCAGGAGTTGCATGGGAGGGAAGGACACAGAGAAAAGGTAACTACAGGAAGGAAGTGGGAATTGCAGTCAATGTCATGAAACAAAATGTGTATGAATTTCTGTATGGAAAATTAATTTGCTCTGTAAACTTTCACCAAAATTACAATAAAAATTAAGAAAAAAAAAAAAAAGATTGTCCCTTTAAACCAAGGCAAATGAAACTTCAACCAGTCCCCAGGCAGTTCATGCCCCAAATCCTAGACTGTATACCAATATATAACCTCCCCTTCCTAAAGCCCCATAAAAGCCGTCCTATTCCCCACCTGGGAATTCAGATTTGAGTGCATTTCCCCTGGCTCCTACTAAGTGCTTAGTAATGAACCAGCTTTCTCTTTTATCAAAACTTGGTGTGTTCTGTTTCCCTGGCCTTGCAGTGTACTGGGTAGGGACCCACCTCCATCTGGCTTCATGACTAGTAGAATAGGATAGAAGTGATGGTGTCCCATTTCTGAGATTAGGTTATAAAAGCTTGGTGGCTTTTTCTCGGCCACTCTATCCTTCTCTGGGAAACCTGCTGCCATGTTCTGAGCAGCCCTATAAAGAGGCCACTTGAGAAGAAACTAAGGCCTCTGGCCAACAGCCACTTGAGTGAGCTGCTTAGAAGTAGATCCTCCAGCCCCAATCAAGCTTCAGATGACCTCAGCCTACATCTTGTGAGACCCTGAGCCAGAACTACCCAACTAACTGCTCCTGAATTCCTGATCTTCAGAAACTATGTGAGATAACACTTTTGTTATTTTAAACTGCTACATTTGGGGGTGATTTGTTACACAGCAATAGGTAACTAATACACTCCCCTTCCTCCTTAACAAGAATCTAAGATGATTGCCCACCACCAGGGAAACTCCCTCACCTCCCTGCCTCCTTCATGCCACTTCCCCACTAGGACCCAGCCAGGAATGCTGGTTTGCAGATAAACTTAAGAGATGAAGACTGAATCCACCTGGCTCCCTGAGAGTCCTGGAGTAACATTATCCTGCTGGATGGAAAATGGTGCTGGGTGGTGTCTCACTCCTTAAAGAAGACCCCACAGAGAAGAGAAGTAAGAATTAATAAAGGAAGCACTGTATACACAAGCCCCTCTTCCTTCCTCCCTTTGTTCTTTTCCCTAGGGGTTAGGGGAATAAGGTGGCCCTTCACTCTGTCTCTGTCCCCTCCCTGTCCCTCTTCTTATAGAAGCAAGGGGAAATCTCTGCCTGGACCCCAGTGAATCTTCAATGACCACTTCATAAACCCATAGGATGTTATCTAGTAGAAAAAGAAAATATCACCCACAGAACTTTCCAGGAAACCCCTGCCCCATGAAAACATGAGGGCTTCTACTAAGGCTAAGAAGAATAGAGGGCTAGGGCAAAGCTGAGGAGACCCTTCAGCACCGTTCCCCACCCGGCCAACTACAAAGGGTAGGAACGTTGCTTTGAAGGTTTCTAAAGGGAATTTCAGGAGCTCTGGTAGCATAGTGCCTAAGGCACTTGACTGCTAACCAGAAGACTGGTGGTTCAAACCCACTAGCCACTCCTCGGAAGGAAGATGGGTCAATCTACTTCCGTAGTGATACTGCCTCGGAAACCCAAGGATGGGTTGCTATGAGTCGGGTCCGACGACTCGACGGCACATAACAACAACAAAGGGGATTTCAGGCCTCCGCCCCATAGTGTGATCCTCTCTTGTGAGGTGAGCACCAGAGCCGTCTCCTTTCTCTGCCACTGTTTCCCTGCCTGTGACCGGCTACAGAGCCTCAAAGCTCTGCCTGTGACCAGCTACAGCTCAGAGCCTCAAAGATTGCCTCAAATGTCTCATTATTTAAGCTCCAGAGGGTGCCCCCCAGCTCCTAAGGCTCTGCACAGAGCAAAAAGGTCCTGTACTCTATTCTCCACCCCCAGGTTTCTGGCTGTTGTGTCTCCACAGGACAGCTCTTCAGCCTTGTGCTGGTGTCTTTGTGTCAGTTAGCACGTGCGCTCAGGCTCAGAGCAACACCTGAAAGCTCCTGCAAGCTTGCCCTCATTCTCTGTCAGAATTTAGTTTTGCTTTCCTGTACAGAGTTAAAGTTCCCAAAAATGGCTATCTGCAGCCAAAGTCCAGGGCCCTGCACACATTGCAGGCAGAGGTCAAGGTCCCCACGCCAGACTGTGGGGGTGCTATTGGAGGAGACTATGTGTGAAAGGATGGTCTGCATGGCCCACACAAATGTTCTAAGGAAGAAACAGATGGGGGTGAGGGCAGGCTCATTGTTCTTTTGTATCATTATTTGCCTCCCTTCTCAGACAAGCACATCACACGCATGGGGCACTTCACACTTTTCAAAGCCTTTTTTATCACCCAATATTCACAGCAACTCGTTTTGGTGAATTATTAACATTATCCCATTTAAGAGGTGAAGAAACTGAGGCTCAGGGACATTGGCCATGGTCACATTGGGAACAGCAGCAGAGCCAGAATCAGAAGCCAGGCTTTCTGATTTCCAAAGCTGCAGCAACAGCCAGTTGTCTCTCTGGATATTTTTCTCCCTGCGGCATGTGGCCTTTGTTCATAGTTCTTCCCTTTGTCAGACTTGGATTATAACCTTGCCAGGGCCAAGTTTGTGTCTCCTGAGGCATGCATTGTTCAATCTCTCTGCCAGAGAGTGCACAGGCCATGTGACTGCTGCTGGGTGCACGGTCGTGTGATGGACAGCGAGAGGGCATACCACAAAGGCAGCATCTGCACACACCGGGTGTGTGCTCTGCCCTGAGTCCACTGCAGTGTTCCATTTCCTCCAACCTGCCTGACTCCGGTGGTGTGTGACAAGCAATGACCACTGGGTGGCAGTATGTTCTCATGTCTGGGACCAGACAAGTCCCCAAGGGCTGGGGAACATGGGGGGGGAGCAGGGATTGGCAGGAACCTGGGCCAGCCACCCAGAAAGGTTGCCAGACCTGGTCCCCTGGAGGACTTGACATGGCAGCAAGGCTCCTCCTTGGCCTAGGAGCTCCTCTGTGTGTGCGCGCGTGCGTATGTGTGTCTGTGCTGCAGCCAGGGAACCATGGACAAGTGGTGAAGTGCAATTGACTATGGGGTGGGGTGGGGCAGAGAGACAAAAATATAACGGAAACCAGGGCAGCCAGCACAATATGGGTGGAAGATGGAGGAGAGGAGGGCTGTAGAGGTAAGAAGGAGTCAGGGCTTTTTAGGAACTTCAAAAAAAAATGACTACCCGGGTGAGAGAGAGAGAAAAAGAGCGTGCCAAGAGAGAGACCAAGGAGGAAACCCAGAGAGGCCAGGAACAGAAAAGGGGAAGATGAGAATAAGAAAATGAGAGAGATTGGCTGGGGAAAGTGGGTCAGGAGGCTAGGGTGGGAGAAGAGAGCCCCCAAAGGCTGGGGAGAGATAGGAACTTTCACTGGACAAGGAGTCGGACTCAGGTTTGCTGCTGACAGGGAGTTTATTTGAGGGCTGAGGTGGAAGGACAAGAACTGAGCAGCTGAGATGGGCTGGCTGCCTCAGTTCCAGGTCAGGGCTGCTCCAGCTGGAGCTCTGGCCCCAGCTCTGGCTCCAGCTCTTGCTCTGGTTCTAGCTCCAGTTCTTGATCCATCTCCTCTGTCTTGCTCTGAGCCTGGGGAGGGTGAATCCCATTCTCTAGGGCGGAGAATCTTCTTGGTCGCCACTATGGGAAGAAATCAAGAAAGAGATGGAGGGTGGGAAGAACAGGATGATGGAAAAATAAATAGGAAGGATCCTGAGTGCATCTACTCTTCTTTCCCAGCCACCCTGCCCTCCCCATTGGTCCCAGGCCTTCTCTCAGCCCTTTCATGCCTCCCTAGGCACAGGGCTCCCTGGAGAACAGAGGCAAATTCAGGGATCCACCTTGGGCATCTTCCCTTGGGGAGAGAAAAGGCAGTGTCGGGGGAGGACCCCTTGCTCACCGGTCTTCTCCAAAGGTGAAAGCCAAAGGCTCCAATGACAAAGAGGAGCAGCAAGAGGATACCAAGGATGAGAAAGAGAGGGAAATGGCCTGTTTTGATGGCACCTGGGGTTCCCCCAGAGCGCTGGGCACCTATGGAGAAGGGACAGGATTAGGCACAGGGTCAGAAATGAAAAGGACATCTTGCCATCCCTCATATTGTTACAGATGCAGACAATGAGGCCCAGAGAATTTAAGGGACTTGTCTAGGGTCATTCAGCTAATTAGTAGCAGAAGTGAGTCAGACCTAGACAAGAGGTAGAGATTGGGCTCCAGATTGGAAAGAAAAGGGAGGAGACTCAAGGTGATGGGTCTAGAGTTGGGCTGTGTTGTTTTGGGGTCTCAGACCTGGGCCAAACGGCTCTGTGACATATAACACTGATCCCAGAAGTGTCTTCCCCTTGTACAACTGGCACTGCCAGGGCTGGGACCAGAGTCTGGCCTCCTGCATCTCCAGCCAGGGCCCTGGGGAGCTCCACCAAGACTGGTTGCTCAGCGTGCTCCACACAAAGCGCTCTTGTCCAGACGCGGGAGTCACCTCACAAAGCAGCTTCTCTGGGGAGCCAGGCAGCCCAAATCCTCTGGGCGTCACTGAAAAAATTAGAAGGAAGAGATCTGTTAAGGTCCAACCCTCTTATTTGATACTACAGGTCTATGGTGGCATAGTGCTTAAGACAACCAGAAGGCTGGCAGTTCAAATCCACCAGCCACTCCTCAGAACGAAGACTGGGCAATCTATTTCTGCAGAGATACCGCCTTAGAAACCCAAGGAGGGGTCACTATGAGTCGGATTCAACTCAACAGCAGTGAGGTTTTTTTTTTTTTTTGGTCTACCCCCCAGTCACCCTGCATTCATTTGGGTTCTGATTGGGTGAGGCTGGGGGAAGAAATCAAGGGTTATGACTAAATTAATCTTAGTAAGATAATGCTTTGGTCAGATCATTCCCCTACTCAAAAACTTTCCAGGTGCCCTACTTTCTTAAAGACATTGCTCAAACTCAAACAGGCCCTGAGGACCCTGTGATACTACAACAGGTTCTTGTATATTACTTTCTACCCAGCTTAGAACCCTTAACATCAGTCAGGTGAGTTAGCCCCCAAAATATACCTTGTACCTTTCCTGCTTCATGACTTGGCTCCTTATCAGTGTCCCCTGCCTTGATGTGTCCCCTGAGTGTGCTCTACCCACCTTTCAGAATGTTTAGAGAACAGCGATCTGACCAATTGATCTAAAGACAGCCTTCTCAAAGCTGTGTAGTGAAAAATAAGATAGATAAAACCAAAACCACACCAGCTGTCGTTGAGCTCATCTGACTCATGGTGACCCCCATATGTGTCAGAGTAGAAATAAGCTCCACAGGATTTTCAAGGCTATGACTTTTCAGAAGCAAATTGCCAGGCCTTTCTTCTCAGGTATGTCTGGGTGGATTCAAACTGCCAACTTCTTGGTTAGTCGTCAAGCGCCTACTCATTTGCACCACCCAGAGATTCTTATAGGGTGGGTGGAAACCAAACCCATTGCCAACATGTCAATTCTGACTCATGGCAATCCTTGTGTTACAGAGTAGGACTGCTCTATAGGGTTTTAAAGGCTGTGACCTTTTGGGAGCAGATTGCCAAGCCTTTCTTCCATGGCACTGCTGGGTAGGTTTGAACAAAGCTCTAGGTTAGTAGCCAAAAGCAAACTGCTTTTGTGACCTAGAAACCTTATAGAGTGGATAGACAGAGATAAATGGTGAAGGGCCTTGATCTGAACATGGTGTACAGGAGGGTGAAGATTTGATGACACAAATACTGGAGTTTAACCTACAAAGGAATATTATTTATTGATAAAAAGGAGAGTTATCAAGTCATAAAAAGACATGAAGGAACTGTGCATGCATATTTATTAGTGAAAGAAGCCAGTCTGAAAAGCCTGCATAGTCTGTGATTCCAAGTGTATGATATTCTGGAAAAGGCAAAACTATGGAGACAATAAAAAGATCAGTGGTGCTCCCTGATCGTCCTCCCCCCCAAAAAAAAGAACCAAGAGTTAGGCTCTGAGTTTAGAACTTCCCAACTGTGTGACTTTGGAAGTTTCCCTGTCTATGAAACAAATTGTTGTGGAGATACCATGGAAAACTCCATGAAACAGTTGGCCCTCAAGAAGACAGACACCAGATAAAAGAATTGGTAGACTTTGGTGACTGAATGCATATGAGGAGATGAGGAGAAGGCCAGCTTTCAAGTGGAGTTACTGACAGAAAGGCTTATGTCAGCAAAAGGATTGGGTTTGAGGAAAAGATGGGGTTCAGCATGAGGCTGCAGTGTGGATACAATATCTAGACAGAAATATCCAGGAAGCAGGTGGAAATGCAGTACTGACCCTCAGGAGATGTATTATTTGTTAACTTATTCATGTATTCATTCAACTGATATATACTACTAAGCACCTACTGTGGTATAGTGCCTAAGGCATTTGACTACTAACCAGAAGGCTGGTGGTTCAAACCCACCAGCCACTCTGTGGAAGGAAGACTAGGCAATCTACTTCCATAAAGATTTACTGCCTCATAACATACTGCACAAAACATTGTTCTACCTCCTATTTGGCTAGTAACAAATGGGATCTTAAAAACTTGCAAACAGCCATCTAGATGCAATGATGAGTCTCTCCTCATCCAGAGCAAAGAAGAATGAAGAAAACCAACGATTCATGGAAACAATTAGTCCTTGCAACTGGTACACCATGTGATCCTCAGCCTAAACGACTATGGGTCCAGAAGAACTAGATGGTGCCTGGCTACCACTGTCAACCACTTGGAGGGGGATTTATGTAGGAGATCCTGGATAGAGAGGGAGAACAATGCGGAACAAAACTCAAAATCATTTGGGGGGAAAAAAAAAAAGGGGGGGACAAGGTTTGCTGGTCTGATAGAGCCTGGTGGAACCACTGAGACAATGGCCCCTAGCGGCCCTTCAGGTCTGGAATTGAACCCATACCTGTGGCTTCTAGCCAAACAAAAGACAGGAATAAGAGCTGAACATGTGCCTGAGGTAGATATACTCCTTGGAGAGAACAATCATGGAAGAAAGAAGGGCTGTTTATGCACAGGGAGACAGCTCAGGGGGCAGGAGTGCATGGAGGGATGGACACAGAGAAGAGGTAAACTTTCACCCAAATCACAATTTAAAAAAAAAAAAAAAACAGATTTACTGCCTCAAAACCCCAAAGGGGGTCGCTATAAGTTGGAATCGACTCGATGACAGTGAGTTTGGTGGGTTTTTTTCTTTCATGTGCTGCTACTATTTAGTGCCCACAGGTGAAGACTGCAGACTTAGCCAAGCTGTCATGGCTAACAGTTACCAATCATTCTACACATACTTTCTGAGTATTTTTTTTTCCTGTGTTTGTTTTAAACTGTCTTGGAAGGCCTTTGCTCAGTAAATATTTGCTAACCAAAGAACTGATTTATCAACTCCTCCCAAATCCAAGCAACAGTCTGCAACTTTAACCCAAAGCCTAGCCCCAAAGTGGACAAGGATTATGGAAATATATTCCACCTCTTTGGAATCATTCAAACTGTTGCCGTCTCTTCTTCCAGCTGCTCAGACCCTCCTGCCAATTCAGGGCAGGGGAGCCCCTTAGAGAACAGTGGAACATTTCTGTGACTCAAGGGGAGATTTTCAGTTTCAGTTCTTTACAAAGGGGGTGAGAAAACAGGACATGTGCCCAGTACCTGGCATCATGGCTATGGATTTGCCCAGTCTTTGCCCAGCCAGCCCTCTTTCCCTGTCCTAGCTACCCCTGGATGGGGGCTGCCCCTTCCCCACCTGGGGCTGACCTGTGATGACTGCCAAAGTGATGGTGGCACTGAGTTGCTGCCCCTGCAGGTGGATACAGCAGGTATAGGTCCCAGCCTGGGCCTGGCTCACGGCCTCCAGCCAAAGGGTAAAACTGCCATTGTCTCCAGCCACCTGGAAGGCAGGGCCTCCCCCAGGTGGGACCCACTTGGCAGTGAGGAAAGTCTGGGTCCCCATAACAAGAGGCAGGCGGCAGGGCAATCCCACCCTGGAACCTGCTCCAGCATAAACTGTTAGTGGGGCTGGGGGCTCCAGACCTAGAAAGAAAAAGGAAATCAAAGTCAAATTTGATAGGGGGAGATGCAAAGGGATTGGAGTGCTGTGTCTGAATGGAAGGGAGAAAGAAGAGAAGAGCAGAGAAGGTGTTCCAGCTGTAGAGTGCTAAGGAGCAGAATAAGGTGGGTGAACTGAGGGCGCTCAGAAACATGGACTGGGTGGCAGGAGGCTAAAGACCAGCAAATGCAGCTGGACGGCCAAGGGAGAAGCTAGAAGAGGAGGAGGCAGATGAAAGGCTGCCACACGAGAAAGGGGTAGAACAGTGGGGCCAGAGCAATCATAGGTGGCACTAACTGCTGAGGACTTGTTTTGGGGACTGATAAGTCAGAGGAGATGACAGGGGGGCAGGAAGGGGTTGTGGTCAAGTGTGAAGGCAAACTGGAGGAGTTACCCAGAACACTGAGATTGTACGTGATGGAGACATTGAAGCCATCTCTGTAGGTGAGGATGCAGCCCCATGGCCCAGAGTCTGAGGGGCTGACTTGAGGCAGGAAAAGGAAGCTTCCGACCAAGTGGTGCTGAGGGGACTTCTGGACAGGGACCTGAGCCCAGCCCCTGAACCAGCGCACAGAGGCTGGGAGTTCAGGGCGGCTGAAGGAGCAGTTCAAGATGACTGACTCAGAGGTTCTAAGAGGTCCTGGGGTGCTGGCAGTCACTGTACAAAGGGTAAAGAAGGCTGGGTCAGCCCCTCACCAAAACACTTTTCTAACTCAGCAAGCCAATTAACCTGGAAGCTCCTGGAAACAGGGACTTACTTTGCTTTAGGTTTCTTTGTCCTCCTCTCCCCTACCCCAGCCCAGGGCCTGGATGCTCACTTTCCGGTTTATTTGGAGCCTTCTACCCTTCTCTTTCTCCATGTCACGGCTGAGGGTCCCCACTAAGCCCATCCCCTGAGCTAGAGATGTCTGAAATGAATCACTCTAGCCCCACAATGTTCCCACATCCCGTAGCCCCCAGAAGAGTCCTTGATACCTCCCCACCACTAAGTGGGGGAAGGGGAGCTGCTGGGGTGATACAATCTCTCCATTAGGCCCTACCCCCCCCACACACACACACACCTGCTCTTAGGGGCACCTTCCACTCCGCAACCTAGTCCTTCACCCTCTTTCTTTACTCTCTGGGGGCACTCTGGCAGTGCCAAGGGTGCATCCTTCCCCAGCCCTTCCTGTGTCCCGGGCAGAGGGGAATGAAGCACCCTTCTCCTAGCCCCTACTAGCCCCTTGCCCCGCCTCCACTTACTCGAGGCTTGGCCCACGCTCAGACGGAGGCGGCAGACGAGGGCGCGGTCCCTGAGGCGCACGGTGGCGCTGTACTCGCCGGAGTCGGCAAGCCGGGCTGGGCGCAACCTCAGAGAGAAGTCCCCGCGTTGGAGATCTCGCTCCACCAGCTGTACCCGGGGCTGTAGGGGCTGCCTCCCGCTGCGCAATCCTCCGGAGGCCACGCTCAGTACTATGTAGCGGCGGGGCCCGGAGCCCCGGGAGGAGGGCGCCCCAGGGCCGAAGGCTGTAGGGCTGCCGGGGGCGGGGCCGGGCGGGCTGCTAGGCGGCAGAGAGATGGCACTGAGAAAGTCTAGGGGGAAGCACCTTCGGAGCATTGCAGTCCAGCCTCCCTTTGAAGACTAGAAAGCCTGCCCAGAGAGGTCTTTTGACCACCAGCCGCCCTCCCCTTCCCTTCCCCCCAACGGAGCCTGCACCATCCACTACGGGAGAAACAGGCGTACACTATGGGATGCAGGTGTAAGAGGAGCAGGCTGCGAAGGAGGGCAGGAAAGGTGCATGGCTGTAGGTGGGGCTGAGACCCTGGCTTCAGGGACTGCAAGCTTAGGTGAGGAGACAGATAGATGGGTGGTATGCCCTGAGAGGGACATGAGATGAGTTGGGTGTTGGGTTGTAAGTCTGGCTGCCATTAATCTAGCTGGATTTGGGAATTCTGTTGCCCAGGTTTGGTATGCATACCTGTCTGGTTGATGCTGCCAAGTGACCGCTGCACTTCGCAGAAGGCTGAGGTCCTCAAGAGGGATTTTGGGGCTGCAGGGGAGTTGGACAGGTGCCCCCTCCTGGGCCCACACCACTGGGAGCCTTGCCCCAGGCCCTGAAGCCTCCACTGGGGAGGAAAAGACAAACTAAGGAGAAGGGCCATAAGCCAAGAGGTTTAGGAGTAGAGAAAGCGCCCCAGTGTTTTCCTGAGGGAGAAAAGGTCTGGGATGAGCTTGGTTTCTGCCTCTTCCCTCCCTGCCAAGGAGGAGACTGCAGAGAGGCTTAGGGGCTAGAAAGATTGCCCCAAGAAAGACGTTAGAAGATCCAGCACAAGAGCTAAGGACCTTGGGAATTGTGGGGTTAGAGAGAGAGAGATTCCTTTTGACCCCTTCTGGGTCTGGAGGTCAGCCCTCCCACCATCACCACCTTACCTGGAGCCACCCACAGCAGTTGCAGAAGCAAGGCCAGGAACTGTGCCTCCCACATCTCCCCTATAGCCTGGGCCACGATAAGCCTTCTAAAGGGAGGAGGTCAGAAAAGGGATGAGAGGAGGACAAAAGAGGGGTTCTACAAAGAAGGAGGTGAAGGAAGGGAATCTAGAGTAAGTGGGACTGGAGGGGAACCTGGGGAGAGAGGGGAGCGACTAGTGATCAGAAGCTGGAATCCAGGGGAATGCTGGTCTGATCAGGCAGCCTGAGGGTGGGGTAGAGGTAAGGAAGTGTCCCAGGGAATGGGACAAGGCATCAGCAGAGAGCAGAGTGGAGGCGAGCTGGCTGCGTGAGCTGGGATGCCGGTGTGCTGCTCCCAGGGCCCTCGCCCCTGTCCTGCCTTCTCTCCACCTTCCCCACTTCCCCTCCCCGTTGCCCCCCCACACACACCCTACAGCTCACAGTTTCACTTCGCAGTGGAAAGTCTGAGGGGGTTGATTCCCAGCAGCATCACCCTCCACCTCTGTGGTGGCTCTCCCCTTGTTTACTTCCTCCGTCCTGGGTCTTCCCACCGCCCCCTCTTGTACCTCCCCCACCCTTAAGACTGTTCGCTTTCCCAGGAACTTTCTGCCCTCTCTCCAAACCATTTCTGTCCTGAACAACCCACTTGCCTATCACTAAACTGCCTCCTCAGCCCAATGTTATTTTCTTCTTGGCAATCCTGTAATCCTCTCCTTGGTCCTCATCCCCCTTTCCCTTAACCTCCCAGAATTTCATGATACACAGAAACCTGCCTCCCCACCCACCCTTACAATGACTCCCAGGAATAAGGTGGACAGGAAGCTTTACTGCACCCTAATACATCATAGATCTGGGAAAGGGCAACTTAAGTCTGAGGTAAATAATAGCTACAAGATACTGAGCTCTCCGTATGTACATGACAGCCTAAATATAGTAACTTATGGAATCTAATGATCCTCCCCCATTGTACAGATGACAAAACCGAGGCTCAGAGATGAAACAATTTGCTGATGTCTGAGTGTGAAGACACAAGGGGCGTGTATGTGTGTGTGTGTGTGTGTGTGTATACAGTCCTGACCCTGGGTGAGTTGTGGGTTTCTTCTTCTCTTGGAAGAATGGCATCAATGAGCCAACCTCTCTTGCATACCCTCCAGCTCAGATCCTTGAGCACACAGCAGCTTCCCCCAATCCAGAGGCTCTGAGAGGAAAGGATGTTAAGCAGATGGAGTAATACAGAAACTCTCTAAGACCAAACTATGAACAGAGGAACCAAGGAAGGAAGCCCGATATTGGCAGAAGGGCACTCCTGCTCAGGCACAGCTGAGAACTAGAGAGTGATGGCAAGGCCGTTCTTGCAGGAGGTAGTGGCTTGGGTACCAGAGGCTCTGGGGTTCTCCTTGCTTGACCAGATGGAGTTCACTTCCTCAGGGTCAGCACATAGCATCACCTTGGATGCCAGGTAGCTCTCTCTCCCTCCAGATCCTAGGGGAATGAGACCCAGCCCTATAACCACTCTCCCATTTCAGAGGCAGGATACTTCCTGTTCCTGGGGCTGTTTCTATTTGCCTGGTTCAGCACAATATCGCTGGTAGCTTTCCACTGGGCTCAGCAGTGTCTAGGTCTTGTGTGGGTTAGCAGGGAAGTGTGTGTGTATTGCTAGGGAGGAGCATCCCTAAGATTCCAAAAACGGGACAGAAGTCACCTCAAAAGAAACTGTGCTCCCTGTCTGCTCCTGGAATGCTGATCTTGTCTTCTGGATTCATGGGTGTAGGAGTATGCTGCTACTCTTTTATAAATGAAAGGGTCCTGACAGGATGTGTCGTCAACCACCCTTCCCTCTTCCCTCCCCGCTTATTGCATTAACTGGGTCCCTGGAAAGCAGGAGACAGGTTAAAAACAGAAGCGCGACCATTTCTTTATTAAATTATACAAAAAGGGGAGGGGAGGGGGCAGCTGTGGGGCTAGGCCCCAACCCTGGCCCCATGGGCCCCACCCCGGCCTGTCGCTGTCTGAGAGGGGATCTGAGGGAAATCCAAGGACCAGGCAGGATAGGGATGGAGCAGGAAATGAGGCTGGGAGATGCAGAGGTTGGGTGGGAGAGGCTACCAGAGAGGAGGGTGGGATTGGCTGGGGGAAGGGAGGAAGAGATTAAGGAGATTGGGGACCAGCTGGGGAGCTCAGATGGAACAGGTCAGGAGGTGGAACAATGGCAGAGTGAGGATGGATGGGGCAGTGTCTGGATAGGCGGAAATGAGAAGGCTGGGGAGGAAGAAGGGGGTGGCAGCTCTGGTGCTGGGAACCAGAGCAGGGAGCCAGGTGAAGAGTGGCTGTATTTGTCCATTCCCACTCCCACCTCCAGGCCCTGACGGGCCTCCAACCCCCAGCCTGTTGGCAGGGGCCTCATGCTGACGCCCCATTTTCTGTCTTCTGTCGCTTGGGATCTGCTTCATCCTAGAGAGGGAAAGAATTGGGGTAGCTGTAAAATAGGAGAGGGGACCTCCTCCTGTCCCAGCTCTGCTCCAGCCCCCGCCCAGGCCACCACAGGGATCTGGGTTCAGATCCAAAGGGGTTCCAGCCCCTTCTGCATCCCTGACAGACCCTCAGGCCCCACAACCCAGCCCAAACCTCCTCTTCAGCAGCTCTCTTCAGTGCAGGCCCTTCGTCATCTTCCTCTTCTTCTTCCTCATCTGAGGAGCCAGAAATGGGTCATTGGGGAAGGGCAGGAAGCTCTGGCAGAGACCCCCTGAGGTCACCCTCACTCAGCCCTGCTTCAGGTCTTCAAACCCACCCTGACACTGTTCCTTTGAGCCCTATCTTACCCAGTCCAGCCTCCCCTGACCCTCCCCACCTTCTTCTTCCCCTTCATCCTCCTCCTCTCCATCCTCAGCGGTTTCTTCTTCTTCTTCCTCAGCTCCGTTCTCCTCCTCCTTTGGGAACCAGGAGAGGAAGCAGTATCAGCTTGGCTGTGTGCCTCTACCCACTGCCACCAAGGCCATGGAATGGGACAGTGGGTGATAAAAAACTTGGGAGCAACCTCAGGGTTGGACAGTGAGGATAGGATGGGCCAAAAAAGGATAGGACCCAGCCCCCAGGAGGTAACTGTGAAGAAGGATGATGGTAAGTGGGAGGGTGGATGGTGGGGCACGTATAACCATCTCCTGCCTGACCCCTCCATACCTCCACCACTTCTTTCTTCCGCTCCTTCCGGCTTGCCTTCTCCTCCACTTTCTCTTTCTTCTCCTTCAGGTCCTGCAAGGGAGAAAGAGGTCACCTTCAACACACCACAAATTATCTCAGTCCTCAAGTCCCTCTAGCCCCATTCTCACGGTCTGCAGTAAGCTTGGAGGGATATGAAATAGAGAAGGTGGCTGGGCACAGCTTAGAGACAGAACACAGGTCTCCAGGGTCCTTACATTAGGGCCACCAAAGGAGCCAAAACCACAGACCCCCTTCCCCAAGACTCAGTGGAGGTAGAAAAGTGTTCAAGTAAAGGGGAGCAGGCACCAAGGTAACTGATCCCCACCCCCATCAAGTTCTTCCAAACCTCACAGGCTGAAGAGTTCAGCTCAGCAAAGCAAATCCCCTCCATCTGTTTGGAGCCCTCAATGCCCCACCCCCTCTCCAAGTCCCTCCGCCTCCTTTGCCTGCCCCCTCCTACTGCCGGCCCTGATCTGCCTTTTGTCTACCTCTGGGGCCTTTTCCTGAGTATTCTCTCTCCTGGGCATCTCTCCCAGCTCCCCATCCAGCTTCTCATGCCTTTGTTTCTCTCTCTCCCTAATCCTCACTCCTACTTGACCTAACACTACAGGAGGAGGGAGAGCACACCAGCATGATTCCGGCACCCCTACACACACAAACACACACAAATACACACACGCTTGTCCCTACCTCTAACTCAAACAGTTTACACAAGGTCAAGTAGTTTCCTCCTCCCTACCTCCTGTGGTGTGAATGTTGGAAGAGTAGAAGAAGCCATTTCCAGTGGAGATGTAGGTAAAGGAAGATAAAAGAACATGGAAGGAAGAGTATCGGACATGGCAGGTGAAGAGACGTTAACAAGGGCCACGTCTGGGTAGGATGTAGATAAGCCAGGTACCAGAGAATCCTCCCACTACACTTCCTTCTCTCCTTTACCCCTAGATCCCAGTGGACATACCCTTGATGTCCTAGTCTGATGTGGCAGGGGTAGATGCTCATGTCAGAGTCCCCTCTGGACACTGCACCTGTCTTTCCAATTCTGTTTCCTCTCCTTACTCCACCTCTTGGCAGACACTGTATGTGTCTCTATGTGATCTAATCTGGTTTTTCTGTGCAACTCTCTATATCTGGTTCCATATGGATGGCAGTTTTCTGTATAAGCAAATTATCCTGGGAGGGTGTGTCTTTTCTGGAAGGGGACTGTCTAGAATAGGGGGTTGGTGCAAAATGGCTGGTCCAGGAAGATATTCCATTCCCTTTCCCCTTTAAGGGGAGCACAGAACACTTCATCCTCTCACCCACCCTGCTAGGTTTCTTCTTCATCCTACTTGGTTGTCCTCATTTCATTGCCTCATAGTTCATATGGCATTTGTACTACCTGGTGTGCTTTTTTTCCCTACAACTTTAGGCAGGAGACCCAGGGGTTAGGCTAGTCTGCACCTCTCTGGGACCCTAGTCCCAAGTCTCTATGGCCATGGCCTAAATTTCCCATCTGCGCTGATGGAGAGAGAGAGAATGCAAAGGAGGGAGAGATAACACCACTGACCAAAGTCCAAAGGGACAGGTCCTCTCCTCCCCTGTTCCTGTCCTGGTCACTGTCCTTCCATGATCCCTTTTCCAGGAGGGTATGTGACCTAGACCCTAGGTCTTGCGTTAAGCAGCTCTCTGGCCTCATTTACTCACCACAGGCACACACACTGACACTGACTGACATCGATTCACACACAGAGCTACAGAGGAGCGCCCAAGCAATCTGGAGACACATGACCTGGGGTTTGGGCATTCTGGCACACTCTCTAGACAACACAAGAGCACAGTGGAGCCACTCTGCACTCACAA